AGGGTAAGCCCGAGGCCCCAGGACGAGCTGCCAGCTCCTGCTGTGCCTGGTGTTTGCTGTGGAGTGCTGGGAGCCGCTCTCCTCTTCACCCCGTTTTCTTATCTGTGAAGTGGGGGTGGCAATGTCTGGCCCAGCGTCTCCCAGAGTTAAGCTGGGGTGCGTTACATAGCTGCAAGTAGCGTCCTGGGGGGCTCCTCTCTCCTCCCTAAGGCACGAGCACCTGGGAAACAAGTTCTCCGTCCGTGGCTCCCCTCGATCCTGCTTTATAACAGGCGGGGTGGCCGGTCGGTCAGTCCATCTGCACTCGCCGAGCACCCGCTGCCAGACACCGTGGGCTCTGGGAGGATATTTACGATGGTCAACAGGGACGGCTGACAGTATCAGTCCTGGCCACCCTGCCCCCAGCCTTTGTTAGATCTGAAGCATTATGTGCTGTGCGTCACTGGATTCCCATGAGCCTGCAAAGGGACAGAGCCCCAGAAATCTTATTTTTAAGAGAAAGTGCAGTTCAGAGGAGCCCACTTGCGGGGCCACTCCATTCAGTTAGACCCGTGACACTTTGCTTTGAAATCAGAGGCTACTGCCCACAAGTACTGATGCCCCAGATGGCGCAGGGGATGGTGAGACCGGGCCCCCCAGAGATGGGCCCCCCAATGCAGGCTTGTACTTCCCATGCCGTACCTATGTTATGACCTCACAAGACCTTCCTGAGACGTTGTGTTGTTGCTACTGATGGAGGATAAGAATAGAACAACTGGAAAGGATATACAAGGTCAAGAACATAACTCACACACGGAAGTGGGGTAGAAGGAATGAGCGTAATCCATTAACCCAGTTATAGAAACCGAGACCCTTAGGCATCAATGCCCAGATCAGGAGGTACAACACCCAGAAACTATCAGACTGCTGTAGGGAGTGTCAGGGGCACAAACCATCCACCCACAAAGATGAGCCCCTCCCTGAGGATGATAAACCTAACGCAGCCCCCACAGCGGGGGCAGCACTCGGTCTGCCCACCTGTGCCTCTGCAGGTGCTTCCTTTCACCAACTCTCTCCCTCCACAGGGTAGCGGCCTCCTGCCTGCCAGTGGCCCCCCCAAAAAAATGTCATGGTACTAAACCCTGCAGAGAGCTGAGGGTGTTGGAGTAGAGATGGGAGGGGGGAGGGGGGACTCCTGGAGGGAGATCACAAAAAGTGGGCACAAATTATAAGCCCAGATTTCCTGCTTCCAGGCCATTTCAGGGCAATTGCCAGGAGCCCCGGAGCTACACTCTGCCTGGTGGGTGCCTCGGTGCCCTGAGGAGCTCAGGAGGAAACTGTCCTGCCTGGATTGGGGTAGGCATGACCCACCTCCTGCTGCTCTGCCCCACAGGCCTGTCTGCATGCCAGGGAGGGGTCAGCCTGCTTCCTCTGCTCTCTCCCTGCAGGCCCAGGAAGGCCAATCCAGAGCTAGGGTTATCCTGGGGCCTGCATACCTGGGGGGAGGGGCACAAGTTACAGAATGCAAGATTATTTACACTCACAAAAGATGGGAATCCGTCTCGGGTCCACTAACAGGGGGCTGGGTGGAGATACGTTGGTGCAATTCCTACAATGCAAGTGTCAGCAGCAGAAGGGGAGGTTCAGAAGATACTATCTAAGCTGATGTCTTAGGAAGGACTTTTCATGGGATCAGAACCTCTTCCGAGAGGAGTAACTGTCTAATCCTCACATCAGCCTCAGGGTGAGGGACCGTTATGCTCAGTGTAGGATGGGAAGCGTAGGCAGGAGAGGTCAGGGCCCTCGTCCAAGACACTCGTCGCTGTAAGCGGCAGAGCTGGGATTTGGTGCAGCCACTGGGCACCAGAGGCTCCCAGGCCCCCAGCCCACCTGGCACGTCACCCCACCAGGAACTGGAAGCCCAGAAGGAAGAGAAACACGCAGACAACCTCCAGCATGTGCCGCGCCTGCCCGAGGAACAGGTGTAGTCAGAAGAGATTAGACTGAAACCTCCTCCCTCCATCTGAAAGTGATTCTGATAAGTCAGACGCTGGGGTGGCCAACTTCTCTCTCCGGTCAGTGACAGTCGGCAGGACCCACCGATGATTTTTATAGACTTTCCTGGAGTCAGGACAAGGAAAACTAAATGATCCACAGGACCCCTTTCCTCGCTAACAGCCGGGTTCCACAGCTGGGGGTGGAAGAAGGAAAGAAAAAAAATCACTTTTCCCCCCTACTTTGAGATAATCAACAGGACTCAAGGCTGGGCGGGAAAGTTTGTGTTGAGAAAAGCTGTTCTGAAGCAGAACTAATTGGCAACAGAAATGGAATTCCCCCCACCTCCCCAAAAGAACAAGCATGTTTTATCCCTGGGAGCTGCCCTACAGAATAGGTGTCATCGACCCTGTGGGCCCGGCCCGCTCGCGCCCATCAGCCTCTCGCAGACTAAGCCTGGTTACCCGTCCTCTGGGCCTTTTTGTAATAACACGGTCACGAAGTTGCAAGGCCCAGACCAGCCAGGCTGGGGGTGGACACTGGCTCTCTGTTGCCAAGCTCTACTTCCCTCCTTTTACGAAGGCAACTGGCCCTTGGGTGCCCCATGGGCTGATTGCAGACACTGCTTGGGGGTGGTGTGGATCCTCCAGGGACAAGTCCTGGCAGGCCCGAGCCAATGAGCACGTACAGGCATACAATCCAACAAGAACAATGACAGGAGAAAAACATTTCATGAGGCTTCTGGGAAAGAACTGCCATTTTAGAGGCCAGAGAGGTGAAGTCACCTGCCCAGAGTCACACACACACAGTGGCAGAGGAGGGAGGATTTGAACCAAGTCTGCAGAACTGAGGAATGTGCAATGTATTGACTGCTAAGTTTGACCATGAGGCAACACAAACTCCAGAGGAAGCCAGACAAACTGGATTCAAACCCAGCTGTCATTTACTACCTGTGTGATCTGGGGCAAGTTACTTAACCTCTCTGTTCCTCAATTGCTATGTCTGTAAAGTGGGGGTTATCAGAACACTTCTGTTTGCAGCATGTGAGGGTTGAATGAATGAACAGCAATTTATGGAAAGAGCGTGGAAAGACATCTGGCACGGAAGGAAGATTTGCTCCTACCCACGCTGCCCCTGTCCCCCATATACACAGTAGTGTACATGTGGCGAGAACCAGACTAAATAAAGACAGGTGGACAGAGGCAGGAGAGCGCCACGGTCATGCAAGGCCCTTGATCCTGACCCCACGTTTTCCCTCCTGGTTCCCATCCAGGAGCAATCAGACCTCAAAACACAGCCACAGCTGTGTAGGATGGGAAGCGTAGGCAGGAGAGTTCAGGTCCCTCGTCCAAGACGCACAAGGTATTTGGATCACCTCAAACCCAAAGATACACACTTAAAGGCAATTGGGCCAGTCCCTGGTGGTGGTGGAGATCCAGGAAATATTCCACTCACTCCAATGGCAAAAAGTAAGACATGCAACAAAAGCCAAGGGTGGAAGGTGGTCTATGAATTAGTACCGTCACAAAGGAAAAGGATTCAGTGCCGTCACGGGTCACTGTGACATTCTGGCTAACGGGATCGTGTACAGGACTATGATGCCACAGGTTGTATCAGAGAGCCTGGTGTGTAAGAGGCTTTTCCATCAGGCTTGTGTAATTATACTCTATGACCTCTGCACAACAACATCACCCCACAACACATTTCTCAGAATGGTCCCCATCTTTAAGCAACGCGTGCATAAGTTCACATTCCCTATAGCCCAGTGATTCTACTCCAGGCTTCGCACCTGAGACACACACATGTGTGGGCGAGGAGAGGTGGGGGCATACTCAAAGCAGTTGGTTTATAACAGCAAGCAGGCAGGCAGTAATACCAAAATGCCCACAGTCAGGGAAAACAAATTCTGGTATTCTGTAGAATAGTATACAGCAGTGAAAATGAATGAACAACAAACAAGCTATATACAACCACACACATGGATTTCAGTGATAAGTGTTTTATGAAAATATAAATGCCGCAGGGCCTCCCTGGTGGCTCAAGGGGTTAAGCACTGCACTGTGAAGCAATCCGCAGCCTCTGAAGCATGGGTTCAATCCCCAGCCAGCCAGGGAGCAATCCACATGGTGAGGCAGACCTCTCCTGTCTCTCCCGCTGCTCCCCTCAGTGGTGTATTTCACTCAATCTGCCTGTTCTGCTCCACGCTCTATCTCTGGTGAATCCTCTCACCCCCTGCATCTCTGGCCTTGCATGCATAAATAAAGCTCTTGTATGCATAAATAATCTTTTTTTAAAAAAAAAGAAAATATAAACGCTGCAAGATAACAAATAATATTCCTCTATAACATCAAATGCAAGTAAAAAGTAAACAATATATATTTTGCCGTATATACATATAAGTGATAAAGCTTTTTTTTAAGTTGAGGGAAATTAGGGTGATGAAAAGGTTCTGGAAACAGATGGTGGTGATGGTTGCACAACATTGTGAATGTACTTAATGTCACTGGATTGTATACTTGAAAATGGTTAAAATGGTAACTTACGTAAATTTACTACTTTTTTTTTTAAAGCAAGGGAAAGATAAACACAAAGTACGAGACAGTAGCTCCCTCGCAAAAGGAGCATGAAAGTAGATGGGAATGAGGGTCAAATTCTGGATCTCTGGTAGGGTGGATTTTAATTTTATAGATATAATGAGGTCGTTGAATGGAGGAGGAGCAAATGGGGCTGTTCAGGTGCCTTTTGAGTATGTGATGATGAGCTCGAGACTCGGGCAATTTAACTTGAGGTCTTCTGGAAGGCTCCCTGATCTGGATTTGGGGATCAAGGATCTAATGGGGGCTCCTGGGCAAATGAGCAAAGGGGCTGAGGTGGTTCCCTCTGTTGTTAACCTGGCTAATGGGAGATCATCTCCCCTGGCAGGTGGGGGCCTCCAAGCTTCCACCTGCAGGCCCTTCCCTCCCCCACGCCTCCCAGCCAGGAGTGACTTCACAAGGCTGTGCGGGACACACCCCCTGCAGCTCCCAGGGTGCCTCTCACGGCCCTGGGAGACGGGGTGGGGGCATCCCCACCAGGGACAACACAAGACCGCCACCTAACCACGACAGAATCCCCGTCCCATGGTGACGCCGGGGTATGGCTGGATTCAAGTCGCCAGGGTATAGCTGGAAACAGGTAAGGGGGAGGAAATTGTTTCCAAGGCTCTCCAAGGCCACCTGAGGGGTGAGCTCAGGGGAGGGAAGGACTCAGAAGCTGGGCTGGGCAGGCCACCTGATGACACCCACCCCACCCCACCCCTTCCCTGGATTCATTGTTACAAAAACAAACAGCCACTTGCTGAGTTAGCTCTGCTCCTAACATGTGGTGCTCATAAATGGCATGATCTGTGTGCCTAGAGGTGCCTGGTGACATTTATTCAGGCTTCTCCCAAAAAATCCGGCTGCCCAGTGATGCCTGGCAACACCACAAATGTCTCCACGAGTATTTATTGGGTGCCCACTATCAGCTACAACACTGAACAACACAGGCCAAAAAAATTCCTGTCCTCAGGAAATTCACATTTCAGAAAAATGTGAGGGGACATTTGAGAAAAAATATGTAGAGTGTTAGATCATGATAAATGTTAAGGAGGGAGGCCCATGGGGGGCGGTGGCCCAGGCAGAGGGGAAAGCGAGTCCTGCGGCGGGACTGTGTCCAGCGCAACTGAAACCAGCTAAGCTGGGAGGGGAGGCGACATCCAGATCCCGCAGGGGTGTGGGTGTGGTGAGACTTTGCCTTTATCTCTGGGTGAAGGGGAGTCGGCAGGTGCCAGTGTCCTGAGGAGTGGAGGGGCAGGACGTGGGTTTTCAGAGGCCCCCGCTGGCTGCAGGTGGAGAACAGGCCATCAGGGAGGCAAGAGGAGAAGCACGTTCAAGTCCAGAGATGGGTGCGGGCCCTTTGGCCTGGGTGGGGGCCGCGGTGGGAACCCTCAGCTGCCAGACACGGGTTGAAAGGCGCGTCAATAGACTCTCCTTGCCACTGAAAAGTGGAAGCAGCTGGGCCCTGATTGTGTGTTTTAGGGTCCGGAAAGTTTGAGACCTTGTTAGAAAGTAGAGACGTGGTCATCCAAACAGGCCCCGCCCTCCAGTCTCCCGGGACTCCTGCTCCGCAGGGACTGAAAGGAGTGTTGTAAATAAGGCCTTGCGTGCGAACAGGCAGAAACACCCGGGAAAGCTCGTCGTGTGAGGACAGTGAGATGCAAGGCAGGATGGATGGAGCGAACAATTCCATTTTTGAAAATTATAATTATGAAGAAAGAAAACCATGAACATGAGTGAGTCTGGAAAAAGAGACCCTGGCGAGGGATCCCCTGGGGTAGGACCCCGAGCTACAGCTTTAAACTCAGGTTACCTTTCCGCCCGTGCGAAATTAACAAAAATAATAAAACCCGCTTTTGGTTTTTCAAAGCGCCGTGGGCCCGGGCCTCTTTTTCCATCACAGTGGCGCTTCTCGCCGCCAGCGGCCCCACCTGGGCCTCCCCCTTGGCCTCGGCCCTAAGAGAAGCGGAACTTGGGAATGAGAAATATTTTCCTCTCGTGCTTGTTGGCTTGGAGAACTGGACAGGGCCCACCTGGCTTTCAGGGGGTCTAAAAATAGAACGTTGTCTTAACTTCCCTATAGGTTTGGCTTAGCTGTTCCTTCTACTCGTTCCAAGCGCCGTCTCTGTGAGCGAACCTGTGCTCGCTGCACTTGAGAGTAAAATGGCTCGAGCGGGACATGAAGCTTGGAATTAACAGGGAGCTGCTGCCCGTGGGACGGGTGCCCCGGGAAAGGGAGCTGAGTCCCAGGGCCTGGGTCGCTGCCTGAGTGAGCTCCAGATGCTGGCTGGGGCTTCTACCCCAGCCTGTCTCTGTCCCGCCTCTTCCGTTCCATCCCTTAGAGTTGGGCAGGGGAGTTTGCTGTGGCTGTTGGTTAGGGGAGAGGAAGAAGTTAGGGGATTTGTGTCCAAGGCCCAGTGCCTGGAGTTTGGATCCCTCTGGGTGAGGACTCAGAATGGTCCGGGGCAGGGCTGCTGAGCCCCTGGGCACAAGCACATACGCTGTGGGGCCAGTGGTGTGCTGTCCAAGGACGTGTGTGTGTGTGTGCGCGCGTGCGTCTGTGTGTGTATACTCACAGCAATGTGCATGTAGGTGTCTGCAAACAGATGCATATACACACACACGCATATATACTTAGGCTTAAGATGTGGATGTAAAAGACATGTTATAAGCAAAAATAAAATTCACAGTACCATTCCATGTAAATTTCAGGTACTCGATGGATTCATGCAATGTTTCTGTTGATTTTTGCCCTCAACGCTTATATCTGGCATCAACCTATAGGCTACGGTAGATGAGGAAGTATAATTCTTTAGGAATGTTGGTTGGTATTTTCCTTGACCTTAAGGCGTAAAACAAAAGTGATACAACAGAGAGCTAGTGGGAACTGGACTTGTTTGTCAACAAAGTGAGCCACATCCTCAATTTCTGGTGTTATTACAAGGTCACAGCTAGAGAGAGAACACACTGCTAAATTGCATCTGCATCCCTAACCTTTTCTGCCTCAAATCTAGGCAATCAGGAAAACTGTAAATCAAGCCCCGTCCTGGACTGTCAATTCCCATAGTGTAAATACTCCCTCGGTGGTCAATTTCAGGCTACCGAAGAGAGTTGGGAAGAGAACAGGACAGCACACAGCTCCACCACATCCACCAGGCAGACACTGCAGAAGTCAAAGTCCTCAGGAGTAGGGATAATAGTAAAATATACTTTTAAAAACTGGAAAGTGATGAGCTTTGAGTACTTACTACCTCTGTAACTAATATAATTTAATTATAAGTTTATGAAGTTTAATTTTTACCACCAGTTCACCAAATATCCAGAAATCTGATAATTGACCTTTGTCTGCTGGTACAAAGTGGCTCCAGCACTCTGGGGGGCACAGGGCAAGAATGTCGGGGTCTAGGGAGGAAACCCTCTCCCCTCCTCTGCCAGGAACCCTGAGTGGCTCAGGTGGGCATATGGGATGCTCAGGATGGGCCGTGGTCATAGGCTGTGTCTCCCAGTGGCCTTGGGGACAGAGACGAGAGGAACTAGAAGAGGCCCACAGGTCAGGAGACCAGAGACATGTAAAATAAGTGGGGGACATTGGGGTTTGTGGTACTGAGCTTCTGATGCTGAGTAGTTGAGTCTGTGTAACCAGCAGACATCTGGGTTAAATCACTCAGCACAAAAACCGAGCTGCCAAACCGAGCTGTGCTTTTAGCAATTCATTAGGCTTTCCAGAAGCTTGTGGGGCCCGGGGGTGTTATCTGTGACATGGGCAACGTGGCACTTCGGGCCCTCTGTGACCTCGTGCAGGCTGCCTCAACTCCAGCCTCCCGAGAGCCTTTCCAGACTGTGCTCGGAGACTCACCGGGGCTTTCTCCTCTTGAGACTCAGGTCTTGCTCTCACATGCCCTCACCCAGTCTCGAACTTAAGTGCTCTCCAACCAGAGCCACAGGGTTGCAAAGAGATTGTAGAGCTGTCCTAAAATAACCCCTGGGTTGCAGACGAGGAAACTGAGGCCCGAAGAAGGGAAGTAACTTGCTCAAGATCACAAAGACAAAGGGAGGACAGAACCAGGCAGGTCGTCCTGTCCAGGTTTGCCCAGGACTGGGAGCCAGAGGGGGCATTATCTGGCATGAGTTGGTCGCCTCATCCAGAACAACCTTGGTCTCATCTTGCGCCCCAGGCCAAGGGCGTGAGCCTGCCCTGGTCAGTACAGAGCTACTGCGGATGGAATTTTCCAAGGGAAGAGAAAAGAGGCCACATCTGGGTGCTGGGACCTCCAAGTCTGCCCCGATGCCTGGCACCCTAGGGCCTGCCCACCTGCCGTGTCCCGTGGTCTGTTCTGGCCCTTGGATTAACACGCATCCCCCTCCTTGGTACCAGGGAGCTGCTAGCTGACTTCATTTGCATCTTATCTCTAGGCTGCTGCCCGCCACAGCTGTACGGATATATATGCAAATAGCCTCCGATAATATTAATATGTGATCCCCCCAGGGGAGGCATGTGGAAAGCACTGTATGTGTTTCACAATTCAGTTTTGTCCAGAGGCTGGGGTGGGGGGGCGGGGGGAGCAGAATGATTTGAAACAGATTTTTGAAAAGGCAAAATAAAACTGGAACAAAACGTAGTAAAGGCATGTGCCAGCCTCCCGCCCCCAAGTGCTCCCCACCCGCCCCAGATTAACCCTCCTCACTCATGCCCCGGGCAGAGCATCGGACACTCAAGCTGGGCAGCCCCTGCCCCTCCCGGGATGGCATCCACCCGGGTTGACGTGCCATCCAAAAGGCTGGAGGCTGCTCGGCCTGTGGCTCCCCTTTCCAGACCTCTCCGCCTCCCACCTACTCCTCTTCCCCTGCTTTGCTCCTGCTTCTGGGGTAATCACAGAACCATAGAACATAGAATGCAGGAGAGCTTAGTGCAAGCGAAGTCAGAAAGCCCCAGGTCTATTCTCCTTTCGGCCACAACCAGCTGTGTGTCCTCAGACGAGTCACTCCATCTCTCTGAGCCGCTGTCCACTTCCTACACAGTAATATCAGGAGCGTGGGGATTCCCCGAGCTAAAGCCCCCAAACAGCCTTGCATGGTGCCTGGCACACAGCGGACACAAAGAACTAGCCACTGTAGCAACAGCCCCGAAAGCTCACCTCCTTCACCCACTCCGTTTCAGAGATGGACAAACAGAAGCCCAGAGAGGGGATGCGCTGCCCAAGGACGCACAGCAACGTGCTTGGCTCCCACCTCAGCCTCAGCCCCCGGCCCCCTTCTGGGGCTTGGGACCCTGGCTGGGAAGGTGGAAGAGCGCCCTCCGCACACCTCCCCTCCCTCTGGAGCCGGGTGTGCAGCCCGCAGCAGCACCAGCAGCCCTCGGCCCGCACTCACCACAGAGCAGGTCTCAACATTCAGGGCTGTGCACGCCGAGCTGCCGCCAGCTCCCCAGCTTTGCTGTCTCTACGGCTGCTGCAAGCGCGCGGCTCCCATCCCGGCGCAGACACCCGCCAGGGCTCGGGCAGCCGGTCCAGTGCAGCCACTTGGAAGATGGGCCCCGGAGAAGCTCCCTGGCCCCGGCCTCCCGGGGGGTGCCGCGGGGACCACGCACTGCCGGGCTCTGATAATGCAGCCCGGGGGGCTTATCTGGCCTGTGTCAGGGTGCAGGCGGCCAGAGCGGGGTTCCAGGAAGCCTGCCCGGGGGGGCCCCCCACGGCCCCCGCTCTCCCCGGATGCTGCCGGCTGCTCTGGCCGCAGCCGATTGCCCGTCAGTGTCACTCTGAGCTCTGCCAGGGAGAATTCCATGCTGGCCCCCAGCAGGCGGGGCCCCCAGCCCTGCACGTCCCACCCCCCACTCCCATCTTGGCAAGAGGACTGGGAAAAGGCAGCTAATTTCAAGTCCGCACAGCGTTTGTGGTCGTGTCCTGAACTCTCCACGATTAATCACGGAGCATCTGATTTCTGCTTTGCCTCAGAGGGGGGTGTGGGACGCCTGGAAGTTTCTGTTTACTCCGCTCTGCACCGGGCTGCGTGCTAATCACAAACAGACGGGGGAGCTGCCTCCCCCCCTCCGGCCTCTTACCTTGCTCTCTGCTGCGCCCCTCCTCACGCCTCCTCCTCGCCCACCTGGCCTCCCTCTCACCCATCTGCCCCCCTTCCGTCTGGTCTGCGGCACCCCCAGCCCCATCGTCCATCCCTCCGCGCCTCCCACCGCTCCCAGGGTGTGAGGAGCTGGGCCCTCTCCCCTAACATCTTGCTAGTTAGTGTGGAGGCTTTTACTGACCTTTTTTGGGGTTTTTTACAACCTCATTATTTCAGGGTCGGCCCCCTCCCCCCACCCCGACCCATTTGTGCTCGCATGACTCCTACAAACTTGAAGGTGTCCCCGAGTCCAGGGGTGGGGGTCCAGGCAGGAAGCGGCTCCTTGGGTCACCTCGACACATCTCCGTTTCGGATTCTGCTCAGGGACGGACCCAGGAGCAAAGCCCCCTTTGACGCCCGGGGGAGCCGGCCCCGCGGGGCCTCCCAGCCCGGACACCTCTGCCGCCCTGGCTGCCGTCCACCCTGCAGCCCCGGAGAAGAGAGGCCAGGAATAAACAGCCCAAAGAGCAAACACTGACAACCCCCGGCCCCCCCCCCACACACACACACACTCTGAGGGGGGATCTGGCAAGACCCTTGGACACCAGAAGTGGCCGCCGGGAGCACCCCTCTGCGTGTGTGCAAGGCCATGGGCACGAGGATGTTTGCTGCCACAGTGGTTTATCGTAGAAGCAAGAGGTCCCACGTCAAGGTCTCTCAGATGCGTGGGTGACACGGGACCCAGGAGCGTGTGAGTTCAGCGGCGGCAGCTGGACGGAGCGAGCTTCATCCCTACGTGTACAGGGTGGGTCTCCACGATGTGTCCCTGAGGGGAACATGGGGTCCGAGTGATACTGGGGTGTCCTCCCCCACGTACACCTACAAAGCCACCTCCTCTGGAAACACGTCCAGAGCCAGGGAAACGGTCTGAGCTGTTCCCAAGGGGGAAAAGGAGACAGAGGCATTTGGGGGGCTGTCCCTGTCATAGCTTCACTGCCAAAAATGGCAACAGAGTCCTCAATAGTGTGGTCCCCACAAGCTTCCATCTCTAGGGACACTGCACCCCACCTGGGGACGTTTCATCCAACATGTGAGTCCTCGGTTAACTCAGGGAATTCTACAATAGTCAGCTGAGAAATAAATAAGCCAGCAACCTGGGGAGTGAACCCAGAAATTCTGCAAATGTTCCAACGTGGTCACCTGGAGTTGGGGACCCCTGTGCCAATATGACTGACTTCAGGGTGTGCTTCTTCCCTCAGAGGAGAGCTGTCTGGGTTGTTCGTGGAGAGAAACATGCCCGGCAGCTATGTCTGAAGGGACCGTGATGACTTAGTTTCGGGGGACAAGTCACATCCCCTAACTTAAAAAGCACACAAAATTTTGAAGCACTTGAAAGGTGTGTGACCAAGCCCGAAGGCCACGCAAGGGCGAGTGACAGCAGGGCCAGAGGAGCCACCTCCAGGCCTTGACCACCCCTCAAGGACAGGACCAGTGGGCCAGGAGGTGCTCGACTCACTTGCAGTTCATGGGGGTCTCTGTGGGCTCCCCTTGGTTTCACTTGTCATATACCTGTCAGGAATTCGGGGGGCAGTGGAGGACGATAAGTGTATAGGAGTGTCTAAGGCAGAGGGAAGCTCCAGGTTCAGGGTCTAGTGGAGTCCGGCTGGGCTCCCGGAATGCTATCTGGGGGAAGGGGGCGTGCCTGTGTCTTCCCAAGTTGGGTCTCAAGGGCAGCGCCATGTTGGCTACAGGAGACACAGGGACCTGGCCCAGAGGCCCCCACATCTTAACTCCTGAGGCAAATTCTCCTTCAATCCTGTCTGGCCTGGAGACAATGTCTCCAGCGCTGTGCTAATCTGTCCTTCATGCTGCTCTCTGTGTAATAACAATCTCCCTTCCTAACAAAGAGAAAGCAGGCCTCGGGCTTGGGCTGTTCAGCAGCCAAGAGCATCTCTCTAGAATTGTGTTTGGCAAGTGATAATGTTTTCCCGTTGACACTCTGACTTTTAATTTCTTAATGTTTAAAAGGGAGTCCCCAGATCAGGGAAAAACTAACAAAATCCTAATAAAACGTGGAGCTGAGTTAATGATAAATTATCCATATGGGCTCATACGTCGTTGTGACAAATGAGATGATGATCAAGATGCCAACCCAAGGGAAACAATTAGGAAGGGGGGGCAGGTGTCTAAGAATTCTCTCTACTCTGCAACTTTTCTATAAATCGAAAACTATTCTTTTTTTTTAAGTCTAATTTATTTATTTATTAAAGATTTATTTTTTATTTATACAATAGCTGGGGTGCAGGCCAGAGGCGTGGGAGGTGAGAGGATTCACCAGAGACAGAGTGGGGGGCAGAACAGGCAGACAGAACAAAAGCACTGCTGAGGGGAGCAGCGGGCGCACCATGTGGGAATCCCCCTGGCCAGCTGGGAATTGAACCCGCGCTGCAGAGGCTGTGGACAGATTCACAGTGCTGCGCTCAACCTGCTGCACCACAGGGGAGGCCGCAAAAACTATACTTAAAAAGGTGATTTGAATTTGTGTTTCAGGGTAAAAAGAAATGAATTGGATGGATGTCAGGAAGCTCACAGAATGTTCAGGAAGCCTGCAGAATGAGGCTGGGAAGCGCAGGTAAGATCCAGGGTGGGGAAGGTGGTGAGGGCAGTGCCAAGGGCATAAGCTGGGAACGCTGGTGAGAACTGGACCTTTGTCACTTTGGAATATCTGTGCCACCACCATCTCTCTGCGGGATTGCCCCACCGACCCTGCAGGCATCTCTGCCTCTGTCACGGCATATTCTAAGGCATGAGGGTTACAGCCTATGACGTGGCTGCCAGGAAGGCGGGAAGGGAGTGCCTGGCCCTTTGGGCTTCTCTGGTACAAGGTGGAGAGGTCACCCTAGAACTCCACCAGTGAGGGGATGGGTTCACAATAGGAAGGGGGCTCAGGTAAAGGGGTGCCAGAAAGATGCAAAAGTGACAGCTATCATCTCACTGCATCTCTGGGGGGCGTGTTGTCAGCTCTGCCACAATGTCATGGAACAGAGCACCCCAGACTCAGTGGCTTGAAACAAGAGTGGCTGGTTCTTTGGACCTGTGGGTCCACTGCGGTCAGGCTGGGCTGGGCTGACTCTGCCTGAGAAGATGGTAGAGCTGGGGGCGGGGGGTGGAGGGAACAGTGGGGGTAAGTGTGCTAACGCCGCGAGTCTATGGGGCTGCTCTGGGTTATTTAAATATTTTTAATGGACCAGAAAAAAATTGATGTGTGTTGTTTTTAAAATGTGAATGTGGGAAAAAGGCAGAGAAAGCAAACATGGCAAAATTGTTACCTGTGGGTACACCCAGGGGAGCAGCGCGTGGCGTTTCTCTCAGCCTTGCTGCAGGTTCGGAGAGCTGTCGAAATAAAAAGGGGAGAAAGGAAATCATTTTAAAGAATCTATTGAATACCTCAGAGCCCAGGTGGCAAATGAAAATGGGCGAAATCACCAGGCAGGACCCAAGATGCTGGCATTTGGGGCCCTAGGGGCAAAGGGCCTGGTGAGAGCAGGGAGATGTGTGTGATTCCCAACGACCTCTCAAGTCCCTAGTGTCTACACTCAATGCCCACTGCCCCAGAATCTCCTCTGCCCCCGAGGACCCCTTGCAGAGGACAGACACTCCAGGCAGCAGGGAGGTCATCTGGGCTCCGGGGTGAGCCAGGGTGGGGGTCTCTCAGCTCCCACCCTCCTGCAGCCCACCCACCCCAGCACACACCGTCCAGAGGTCACAGCCTTTCCAAGATCTTGGAACTATTTCCCCATCTCCCGCCACGTGATACTCGAAGCGTCCTCACATGTCCACAGGCGGCTCTCATCATCCCACGCTCCAGGCTGGGTGTTTCGGGACAGGGATGAATAAGGAGGAACCTGTCATGGCGGCAGACTTGTAAATAGAAACCTGCCATGCCAAGTGCTAATTTCAGCACAGGGAGTAAGGGCGGGGTGTGGGGGCAGAGGACCTCAGCCTCGAGAATGCAGGGGATGCCCCAGGGGAGGCGTGGCATCCGGAAGGATGAGTAAACAGAAAGCCGATTCCATCTTTCTAGAGAACCTCTGTTCTCTGGCCCTTAGGCTACGCCCGACTGGCAGCCTTCTGGGCCCTGCTCGCCTTGGTCTCAACTCTCCTACCTTGCCCCTCTCCTGAAGGGACACCCTTAATCCTCTTAACATACCAGAGCCACCTGTGTGGTTCCCCCAGCCCAGAACTCTCTTCCCAAACCATCTCCACTGCCCTGCTTGGTTTCCACCTGGCTGAAACCTTCACCCTTAACCCGCGGGAGCCCAGCGCGGTCTGCGGACCAGCAGATCGGGCATCTCCTGGGAGCTGGTGAGTTACAGTGTCCTGGGTGCCGCCCCAGACTCCCGGACCAGATTCTGGGTTTAACGGCCCCCCCAATGATTCACATGCATGTTAAATGTGAGCCTCGCCGAGATGTTACGTGCAGAACACAGCCCCTGCCTGGCTCGTCGCTGACTCTGAATACGTTGTCCTCATCGCCACGCAGACCCGCAAGATCATCTGTTTTCTCGTCCTGCTCCTCCGGCCGAGGCAAAGCCCCAGCTGCCACGTGCACTGCCGCATACTTGTGTTGGATGAATGGACCTAAGTGCTGTCTGCTTCTCGGGCCTGGGGGTCCTCACTCCTGGCTGCGCTCACGCCCCAGCATCCTGCAGGCAGGACAAAGTCTGGGGTCGTGGGCCATGGACCTCCCGCTCCAAAAGTGGAGGGTGAGCTGACCAAAGGGCCAATCTCCCAGGCACATCCTGCTTGGAAAAGTCCAGTTTTTTCCAGCAGAGAGTGGCATCACACTCCTGCTTTAGCAACCCTTGCAACTTTTAGTGCTGACAGGAATGTTGGATGGCGGGTTCTCCCTGGAGATTAATCTCCCAATCCATCATCCCAGGCTTCGCCTCCCACTCCTCTTGACCCGAGAGCCTCCTGCCAGGCTCCACTGCTCCTCCGTGACAAAGCGTCGCTCCATCAGCTGGGAGCTGGCTCGGGGAGCTGGGGTGACGTTCCAGGGACAGGTCGCTCTCTGGCCTCGGCCAGAGCCATAAACCGGGTTCAACAAAGGGAGGAATCTGCTCTGAAATCTGGGAGCCTTATCAGTTGGGGGGGATTAGTAAAGGCCACGTCCTGACCTGAAAGAAAATCCCAGGCACCCTCCATGCTCCCTTTGGGCTCGTCCAGAGCCAAATATTTCTAGAACCAACTCCAGTTAAGTAAATAGTTTTCTGCACGTGAATGCCCACGGGGTTTCTCAGAGGACCTGACATCCTCCACTTGGTGACTGTCATTTCCTTGCAAACATAACACTGGGCGCGATCTTTGCATTCCCAGAATGTCTTCTCCAGCTGAGGAATTCTGCCATTCTCCCTGAGCTTTTACGGCCAATCCCCCCAACTCTATGCAGGACTATTTGACAAGAGTCCTTTGCCACCCCCCACCCCACCCCATGCGTGTCTTTCTTTACCACAAATTTCTAGTAAATGCTTCAAATATGTGCTCCTAAATTGAACCCTGATGCTGGGCACACTAACGGGGCGCCCTCTTCAAAGCGATTTTCTGTGACCCGACAGTTTACATGCTGCTGAGAACAATGGGCTTAAGTGCACAATTTATTTGGGTTGGCTGGCTTCATGCTGGTTGGAATCTGCTTTGAGGGGAAAACAAACCCTGCATATGTTTAGATTTATAATTTCTACTGAAAGCACAAATGTCTCATAATAAGACCAGAATGGGACGCCTTTGTGGGCAGGAGGTACCACACGTGTGGGCTTTGCTCTCTGGTGGATGAGCTGAGCTTACAAACTGCTTTTTAGCTAAGCCACCCTCCCTCCCACCCCAAGAGATGTCTCTGCAGGAGCTGTCGCTTGTCGGTCCCGCCTGTGTGCAAATACCCAGATGTGGTTGGCAGGGATAGCCTCGCTCATCCTCACAACATCGTCCTAGGCACCATGACCCCATGTCAGAGAAGAGGGAACTGAGGCACAGGAAAGGAAGCCACCTTCCCAAGGTCCCACAGCCAGCAATAGACAGAGCCAGGATTCTACCTCAAGGAGGTACTCTTAACCCTTAGGTACTTTTGTAGTAAATATTTGGAACAACCAGCCAGAATGCTCCTTTAACTCGATCTTCATTGCAGTTGAGCTGGAAGAGAAATAAGACCAATGGCAAGAAAATCAAATGACATCATGACTTAACCAAAGCACAAATGAGTTCTCACTCACCAAACTAAGCCAAAGAAAACCTGGAAAGAACACGTTCAGCCTCATCTCCTCCACCTCTCCACCTCCATCTCCCGGCCCAGACAAAGAGGCGCCAAGTTCAGAGAGAAGGCTCAGGGTCCTGGAGGATCCTCTATCGATGAGAAGGACCCAGAGCTGCCTTTGGATTCCAGAACAAGGATCAAGAAGAATACACTCCAGGGAGTGCCTGTGCTGGGGCATTACAATCAGGCCCTGGTAAATGCTTCTCCCCAGACCTACTGCCCTCCACCCCATGTGACACTGCTCCCCAGAGAGAGCTGGAGCTCAGATCGCCCCTCACTTGGCTCTTAGACTTGCCTTGACCAACAGAATGAGGCAGAAATGATGGTCCTCCAGCTGTGGGGGACCCTCGGATGGCGAAGAGACCTGGGCTAGTCTCCCAGGAGGTGCAAGACCACCTGGAAGGGAACCATCCCCAGGCATGTGAGCACAGTCACCTAGACCCTCTAGCCCTGGTCAAGTGGTCAGATGACCATGAGCCAAGCAGCACCGTCTGAATGGCCAACCGGCTGAATCGTGAGAAACAACCGACTCATTGTTCTAAACCTTAAAGTCGAGTTTGTTTGTTACACAGTGGTTCTGGCTGAAATAACTAACAGTTAAAACCAAGATTCTCTATGGAAACCACAGCAATAAAGCAAATTCTAGGATCATCCCTCTCTCTTGCATAGAAGTTTCTGGAGGATTTACTGAATCATCTCTTCATGTGTCCTTAGCTCAGTTATGAGGACATTCATAGCCCAAAAGTAATTTTACTTTTAGTCACTCATTAAATATTTGACCACTAGTTCCTCATAGAAAGAACTGTCTTTTGCACTGGGGACACAGATAAATTCAGCACAACACCATCCTCTACAAATTCCCAGGACAACAGAGAAGGTAGACAAGAACACTCTTATGTAACAATTCTTTCAGCAAATATTTGAGTACCAGGCACTGTGCTAAGAGCTGGGAATGCAATGGTAGGAGATTCCCATGAGGCCTGTGTCTAGTGAGGGACAAGGACATTTATAAATACAGAACAGGCACACATGTGGCTGCAGATGGTGCTAGAAACTGTGAAGCAGCAGCCCAGAGCACTGAGTCCCTTAAGAGGACAGAAAAATCTACTTAAAGAAGAGACTTTTAAGCTGAAAGCAGGTGAAATGCATGGCAAAAAGTAGAGGAGGAACATTCCAGACCAAGGAAAGAGGATAGACAGTGGTTCTCCCCAGAGGTGGTCAGGTGACTTAGGTTAACCTGGACTCCAAGTCCATTTTATATATATGCGCAAAATATTTTTGCATGGTTTTAGTATATACTATATTTTAGTATATTCTAATTT